GTGGGAAATTCTTGGAAAACGGCTCTAAGTTTTGGGGCTGTTATAAATTTACCCTAATTTATTCAACTAGATTCTCTATCCAAGAAGAAAGCATCTCTAAGTTATGCATCCCTTTCTCACTCCTCTCTTGTATCTTTCTAGGTACACATGAAGTAGAGCTGCTCTTCTTTCAGTGCTCTCCATTTCCAAAATGCCAAAGTTTTCCAAATTTCTAGAACAGGAATGGGCAAAAATATACAGCAACGGATTTATCAAAAGATTACAGTTGGTAGCAGACCATTTTCCAACCAAGCTGCTGATATCACCTTCTGATTGAAATGAGAGCCATTATTTCCCTGTCCTCAACATCAAAACTACTGATGATGTCTCAACTTGTATTTAATTATTAATGCGCTCCAGGCTTTTCTTGCTTCTCACTGGCCCCGTAGTCTTCAGCCTTTCTGAATTTTGACTGAGAAAAAAAAATAAGAAGAAAACAAAATCAGTTGAGTGCCTTTGAATAGAAAACTGACCTTTTCTTTGAGGGTTACTTTGGCTTCTTCAAGGTTGGCTTTAAGTACAGTGTAGATTTTGGATGGAGCTGTGGAAGTGGTTCAACTATCTTATCTTTATAAGATACTGTACAAGCAAAGCTGGAATTTTTCAGCTGATCTCACAAACTTCAGGTCAGATTCTCTCCTTCACCTCATATCTCTTTTATATCTGCGTTCTCCTGCAGAAGTTAAACACAAGAGAAGTAAAACTAAATCTTCACTGTTTCTTTAAGTTTCAGGGGATTAGAAGTTCAGCTTGATAGGATACTTCTATTTGCGACTACTATGGATGAGTTCTTGAAAAGAGACTATCCAAGACAATCAATTCAAAGCTTGCCAGAGTCCATACATTCACTTCTAGGATTCAAGAAAGACTTGACTCCCAACTGGGTCGAATCTGTTCGTCGAATAATAAGCAATGTGACATCTCTCAGGATAGATGGTGGTTCTCAAATGAGTTGCTCAGAATCAGAAAAAACTGAGACTGAGAAATATGAAGCTATTTCAAAGATTCAAGGTACATTCCCTCTGTTACTTCATCTTTCCGCTTTATTGTTGAGAATCAAGAAACATTACCCTTTTGTTTGGTGACAGGTGATATCAATTTACTAAATGCTCGGGTCAACAAGTTGAACATAGGAAGGAGGCAAGCGCTAAATGAGTACTTGGATCTGAAAGGTCAGATAACAACTATCTCAATTCAATTATAAAATTCATGACCAGTTAGTAACTATAAGAATTCAAACTTTGCTCTTTTTTTTTTGCAGGGAATATTCGTGTATTTTGTCGGATACGACCACTATTAGGAGATGAGCCATATAGTAACCGAAGACCAGTAGCGTCTTCAGATTCAAGCACTGTGTTTCTGAATATTACTGACAAGAAGACCAAACAATATACTTTCGATAAGGTTTTCCACCCACACTCAACACAAGGTATGTGTCTCTTAATTCATCATTTGAAATATATAACACTAGAGCCTAAACATATGAGATAATTAAATCTAAGCTTTAAAATTTTTGCAGATGAAGTTTTTCTTGAAATAGAGCCAGTGATAAAATCTGCATTGGATGGATATAATGTTTGCATATTTGCTTATGGACAAACAGGCACGGGTAAAACTTATACTATGGTATGTTTTCATCTCGCAAATATGTCTAAAATGACTTGATCGCAGAGTAAAATATAACTTGCTGAAATAGAAAAGCCATATTTTTCTGCATGTTGTTGTTTGCATAATTTAGGAAGGCATACCAAACTCCCCTGGTGTTGTGCCTCGAGGAATTGAAGCCTTGTTTGACCAAGCATTAGAAAGCAATTACAAACTCCAGTTTACTTTCAGTATGCTTGAGATATATTTGGGAGGCCTACGGGATTTACTTGTTCCTCGGAGTGTGAAGCTAAGGATTCCTAAAGTACCTTGGTAAAGTTTCATCTTTTTGTTGATGATAAAAAACAGTTTCGTTATCTATTCTTGCAACAGCTTGGTTTTTAAAATTAGCCACGTTGTATTTCTGGTCCATCACCAAACAACAATAATGGCAACACTCATCTCCCAGATCTATGGGGTCAAAACATGAATCTGTTTTCTCCTTCATTAATCTATAAAGGGCAACCTATGTGGAATACATTAACTAGAATCTGTTCATTGGCTATCTCCCAGATGCACTTTAGTACTTGTAATTCTAATACTTTGCATATAGTATACTGGAATACCCTCTATCTTCTGCCTCATCTTCCAATGGCAAGCAAGTGAATATATCTACTCAACTAGATTATAACCAATAATTAGTTGTGCTTTTATATTTCAATTTTTTCCACATTAGGTTTTGATTGACACTCTTGTTTAGAGATTAATTATTCATGTAATTTTCTTCAAACAGCCTTTCAATCCAAACAGATCCTAATGGTGGCATAGAGATCGAAAATCTTACTGCTGTCAAAGTGAACAATTTCAAGGAAGTGAAGAAGTTATATAAATTCGGCAACCATTTTAGATCAACAGCTCCAACCATGTCTAATTCTACATCAAGCAGATCTCACTGGTAACTGTTTGTGCGTCTAGTGTAGACTTTTAATAATACCCTGACTATAGCAATCTAAGAAAAGAGGAAAGAAATAAAGGCAAAAAAATATAAGCAATTAGAATAAAATGATAAATTTTGCTAATCTATGCCCAGGACAGCCTTATCCGAATATCTGTAACTGGTTGCGGAGCATCAGCGAGATGTAGGGATACAAATAAGATATGGATGGTTGATTTAGGTGGAAGTGAACGACTGTTAAAGACACAGGCAAGCGGGAGAAGACTCGAAGAGGGGAAGGCAATAAATCTATCACTTTCAGCCCTTGGGGATGTTATTAGTGCACTCCAAAGTAGAAAGCCTCATGTTCCTTACAGGTACTTTTAATGGAAACTTTTAGGTAGAAATTAATTGTGTCCCTCCAAAAAGCAAATAATTTGGGTTTCCCACATTTCGCAGGAATAGTAAGCTTACACAAGTTCTCAGAGATTCCCTTGGTAAGTCTGCTATTTCTCTGAACAATATCTTTCTTGTTTATTCCTATAAAATATTTGGTAGCAACTGAAGTTTCAGGTATCACTATACATGGTTTCAGGATCAGATTCAAAATCCTTGATGCTTGTCCATGTGAGCCCCAAAGAAGAAGATATGTGTGAAACCATATGTTCCCTTAGTTTTGCAACAAGAGTTAGAAGCATCCATCTTGGGAGTGAAGAAGCAACGGTATGTAAGCATTTCCTTTTGCAGCATATTATTGTGTATTACTATATTCTATAGAACAATTGTAACAGATGAAACTACGCAAAATTATTCTAACCATTAAAGGAAGGGTTAATCGTGGATAGAACCCCTGTAGTACCATTGCTTTGAACTTACTACCCCTCTAGATTTATTGTTGCAGATAGACGCCCTTAAATAAATTATCTTAGGCAATATGCGATTCAATGACTTTCTTTGTAAGTTATAGGATCTCGTATTAGTGTATATAAGGTTCATATTGTAAACAAAAGCAAATCATTTTTCATAAATAGCACTACTTCTTTACTCCATTCTAACCAGTTATCAGAAACAGGAAATGAGAGCTAAAAAAGAACTTGCAATGACTGAACTGCTGCAAAAGGTTCAAAATTTTGAAAGTGAACGACAAGATGTTAAAAAGAATATTGAGAGGCTTACTAAGAGACTAAAGCAGTTAACAGGACCTGAGCCAGAAAGTGAAGGAAATGTTGAAACCTCCCATCTATCCATCGAAAGTATTCAGCCTAATGGGAAGGACAAGATAAAGAGAGCCAAAGGTTCAACAAGAGCTCCAGCAGACTTACCAAGATTCATGAGACCCACAATCTGCAGTCGAAGAAAAACAGGCACTAATCAGCCGATCTCTTGGAATAGCAGCAGGAAGCCACAGATTCCTCCAAAGCAGCGAAGGCCTTCATCAGTTTATGCTGAATCTGTGACTTACCAAACTAAGGGTGTGGATTGGCAGTCTGAACATGGCTCAGAATTTAGTATGCCCTCAATTAGCATCTTCAACTGGAACTACAGTGCAAATGATGGAACTGAATGGAGTCGAGAAACATCTGAGTATCAGATCAAAAAGGTTATCTTCCCAGAACCAGAGAAATCCCCCAGAGATTCAAAGTCTTCTTTTTCAGATGAAAATTCCCATGAGTCAGAAGACGGTCAGACAAACAAATTAGAGTATGAGAACAATTTGGTTCTTGATAATTGGCTTCAGTTACAAATGAAAGAACAGAATAGTTCGTACAAACAAGTGCTTGCTATTCCTACTGATGCAAAAAACTCAAGTCCGGATGCCAACGAAAATCTAAATGATTTCAGAGAAGAGCTAAGGTTATACAAGACAAATAAGAACTTTGATGAATCCATGATTAAAGGAGAGCCTCACAAGGACACACCTATCACCGACAGTTCATCATCAGATGTAGCAAGTAAAAAGCATCTTCAGAAAAATGATTCAGATCAAGGATATCAAAGGTTCGAATGCATACATGAAAACAAACAAGAGTGTATTAACACTTGTGAGGAAATTGAGTCTGGTAGTGAAAGTGCTCTAGCAGAAAGAGGAACTCCTGTAACCAAAGAAATGGCAATGTTACTCAATGGCTACAATGAGGATTCAAGTAGCTCTAAAGATCACAACATAGATAATGAGGAAACTCGCCTGTTCTCCATGAGATGTAGAAGAAAATTGCTAACGGCGGAAGATAAAGCAAAACTTGTTCAGAAGTTTGTAGCTCTGGGAGATTCAGCAGTAACTGTTGCCAACTCCGAAGAGGGAAAACATGCGAAGGGTAACTCCCTGACTATAGTTATTACAGCAAGCTCATGAAAAAACATGAATTAAATTCTAGAATTTAATAAAACAGCACTTTAGGAGTATGCTTTAACTAACCACTCAAGAAAACATAACTTGATAAGACAGCACAATGCCTAGTCAAATAACACAACAAAGGATGAAGATACTTCAAAAAAGTGGGACTGTCTTAACATAAGTTTACATCTAAAATAGTTACTATTTGATGAACTTATCAAATTCAGAAGTAGATCCAGTACTTGATTGTTTTCTCAGTTTGTTGAAACTTGAGACCAAACTTAGCAACTAGATTTTGCCCAGTATCTTTAGCTCTAAAAGATAAGTTTTATTTCAGCAAATGAATACTAGAACCAACTTAGCACAGTAACTACATGAGTCATTCTATGCTTCATTAATGACAAAAACGAAAGTAATTCATCACACTTTCAACGACCTATACTTTTACAGATATTTCCTCTGAATAGCCATTTATTTATGACGATGATTAGCAGATACATGCTGACTACATAGATAAAATATTTATTTTAAACTAAATCTATACCCAAAATAATATATCGGAATATATTCTCAATCACATCGTGTTGGTAACTTGGTGGTTTTCTGGAGAATCTTCTACATGAAAAACAGCCTTGAAACGGCTTCCCTTGTAACAATTTCCCTTCGTCTACATCAGGTTTGATACATAAACAACCATTCATAATTTGTTCTATTGGAAGCTACATATTTTAGTGATCACAAATCTGCTATTATCTAAATTGACTAGTTCTAAACAGTTTGTCCAGAAAATGTAGCATCGATCATCAACCTCTACTGAAACTTTACCTGACATTGTGTTCCATTTCTTTTTTCCTTTTTCTTTTTCTTTTTTTCCTTTCCAGGGGCAAGCCAGCTACTTGGGCATACTGTTCGATTGATATGGGCTATTGCTCTTTTAGGATTGGGGATTCGCAGATTAGGATTTGAGGATGACTTCTTCCAGGGCTTAACATTATAAGATGCTAGCATTTGTGTTGATCCGTCAACATAGGACTAGGTTTTACATGATTACTCCACACAAAAGTTCTTCTTTTCCTTTTATTCTTCTTTTAGAAAAGCATTCAAATGTTATTGTAAATTAAGGAATGCAGTAGGTTAGAAACAAATTGTGCCTTCACCCTTCAGATGTGAATTAGGAACAAACTGTGTTCCCATCGTACCGCAAAATCTCACTCCCCCAATATCCCCCCGTGGAAGCAAATGTTTGATTCAAATTTCTGGCATAAGAATCAGCAAGAGCAAGCTTAAGATTGTCTGTTGGATCTACATATAATATGTCATACGAGCAACTTTAACAATTTTCTGCCATACATTACATAGGTAGAGTTCTATGGGATGTTACAAGAAAATTTGTAATTTTAGACAATTTCATCAAAGGAGTGTTTACAAAGCCAGACATCAGAAAGTCAGACCACAGGATGCAAACATGTCCTAAAACTTTAAGACAAGTATGTATGCACATATGGATTTACTGGTATCTTACTATACCATATACTATGTGTTCTTTATATGTAAGTGTCGGTAATGTTATAAACATCTGACGACAACATTTGTTGAGAACAATGACGCATCCTTAATACATCCAGGTGTGCCCATATCTAACCTACAGAAATCTGACGGTTTAAAGTGATAAGGTTAACAGTTGGTTAAAGATTTAGAAAATTGAAGGGATGTGCTCCTAGTCCGCAACAGGAATGCTTGTTGAATGGAATTCAACAAAGCTTGGTGTTTATGGTTATGTAATAATATGTTACGTAAGTTAATCGTATGGTCTTAGTATAACTCATTCTTAGTTCGAACTGGAGAAAATCCACAACTCAATGATCTATCATACACTAAGTACCAATGGAAATATGTACTTACTTTCTCCGAGATGAGAATATGTCTTATTTACGGTGGAACTTTTTACTATGGATATCTCAAAGCGACTATTTTCTTCCTAGATGATTTTACATCTTGCTTGTGCATATATTATCTATTGTATTATTTTTTGAAGAAGATAGACATAAATTGAAGCACTTCAAAAAGAATAGTTATCTCATGGTATGTTCCAATTCGTGGTACAGGCAGACGGATGAGAAATGCTACTTCGAGTGGATGTGAACACGAAGGGATAGGCTCTTGCATTGCCAGGGGATTGTGTTACAGTCAAAAGTATTCACTAGGTTTATTTGATATGTGCTCATCTATACAAACAGGAGATGTGCATAATAGATTTAAAGACATGTAAAAGTAAGTATTATGATAATAGAAATTTTCATTTGTTATCTGTACAGCAACCCCCAGGCTGATACTTACGGGACAACTTTGATGAAAAAGAAAAACAAAATCACAAGTCTAACTAAATTAAAATCAAAAATCAAAACACAAAACTTTAATGCTATTATAGTATATAAGCCTGAACAATCACACTAAGTCCTTAAAAGCAAGCTAAACACTAGAGCAAAATATACAACAGAACTTCTGAGCTAGTTGTAGTTGTTAAGTTTCGCATACTCCTTGGGCCTACCAGTTTCGTGATGCTAGATATGAAATGCATCAAGACCTGGAACAGATGAATCAAATAACAGTTTGAGTGGGGATGGTGTGAATTAGTTAAGAAATCTGTGCGCGCTTGCGCGCCTCTGTGTATGTGTATCAAGGTAACTTTCTGAAGGCTAAACTATGTAGGGTGTCCTTTTAAAAATTGAGGTGTATGTAATCCTCGTATACCTGGAATTCACAGTCTATATAGATCTTTGTTTTCGAGCGGCTTTTGCAGTCTCCTCTGTTCATGAATGTTTTCCTCAATCTATGTAGAATTTGTCCTTCAAATTCAAGCAGTACCAATAAGTACAGGAAAATCTCCAATCAATTTCAAGTGTTCTTTCACCTCACAAAGAACTTCATATATCCTTTCAAAACAAGGATGTGCACCATCTCTCGAAGTAAACTCATGGACCCTCCCATCTATTTCAATAGAACTCCCTCCCGGAACCTTTACTCATATGCTGCATAAATATTAGACAAAAGAGTATAATTAGCGCTGTTATGAGGCTCAACCTCAACGAGATGTCTCAAGGCAAGCTCTCCCATCTCAACATCTCCACGCATTCTCGCAGAAGCCAGAAGAGCTCCCCATATTGCGGCATTTGCTTCAAAAGGCATCTCCTTGATTAAAGCGTGAGCCTCTATTAGACATCCAGCACGACCGAGGAGATCAACCATGCATCCATAATGCTCAATTTTCGGTTTAATATGATAATGAGAGCTCATCCGTTCGAAGTACCATTTGCCCAAATTGGTTTGTCCAATATGACTACAAGCGGATAAAATGGCTAGAAAAGTAACATCATTAGGCTTAACACTCTCCTTTTCCATCCTATTGAACATGTCGAGAGCTTCATTGCCAAGCCCATGTAAAGCAAATCCTGCAATCATCGTCGTCCAAGTAACCACGCTCTTATTCTTCATGTTCTCGAAAACCTCAAGTGCTTTTTCTATATTACCCGATTTGGCATACATGTCAATGAGAGCATTCATCAGCGGAACAATTTTATATAACCTTTTCCTATCAATAAACCCATGAATCCATTCCCCCAAATCCAAGGCACCCAACTGAGCACAAGCCGAGAGCACAGCCAACAACGCAATCTCATCTGGTTCGATGCTATCTTCAACCTGCATCCTCCTAAAAACTCCAATCGCCTCATCTGGACGATTCATTTGGGAATACCCAGCAATCACCGTAGTCCAAGATACCACATTTCTTTCGTGCATCCGATCAAATAGTCCACATGCACCATCAACATCTCCAACACGGGCATAGCCAGCAACCATCGCGTTCCAGAGAACAACATCTCTGTGAGTCGTTCCATCAAACACAACACGGGCATCATCGACACTCCCACAGTTTGAATACATATGAACCAAACCAGTCGATACGTGGATATCTGATGACAACCCGTGTCTTAGAATCTGACTATGAATCTGTTTACCCAACTCGAGACTCGATAGGCTAGCAACCGCCCTGAGCACGAAAGGGAAGGAATAGGTATCAGGCCGAAGACCCACTTGCTGAATTTCCTTAAACAACACAATGGCGCCTCTAGCTGATTCAGATTGGGACAAGATTTTGATCACGGTGTTGAATAGATAGACATTGGGCTGTTGTTGGTGTCTGAAGATTGAATAGGCGTAGTCTCTGAAACCCAAGAGGGAGCAAGCGGAGATGAACTTGGAGAGCAGGAGGTTGTCTCGATCGAGGCCGCGGGGGATTGCGAAGGCGTGGGTTTGGGTTACGTGGTTGAAGGTGGAGCAGCGGGTGAGTAGAGAGATGAAGTCTGGGGTGGCGGCGGGTAGATGAGCGGGTAGATTTGAGGAGGAGAGGAAGCGGAGAGAAATGCAGCGAGCGAGCATTGGTTATTTTGTAATTTACTAGGAGCGCATCATATTTCACGCGCGAAGTCTCATCAGCAGGAATCTTCTGCGCTTCGAGAAAATGTAGCCAGTTCGGAGTTTTTCTTTTTTCTTTTTTTTTCCTTTTTCGGGGTGATGTTCTTCCCTTCCACCCTCGCAATTGGATTCGAAGTCTGAGAACCGGCCCTTCTGGAATCTACTACTTCACTGGTGATGTCACTTTTCGATCCTTGGATCTGATCTACATCATTTTATTATGCGCATTAAAAGAAATAAATTCTTGAATCAGTGTACAAAGTTCAAAGCCCCATTGATACTGTTTTGATGCCCAATTAATATCATGTTAGTTACACATATGGATGCAAATATGGACATAATTCACTGAGAAAAAAATTACGTGTTAATATGATTGCATATTTGGTAAGACAAATATAAGGAAAACAAATAAGACTAAAAGTAAATGCCGTATGTTATGATAAAAAGAAGAAGATAAACCAATGAAATTTCTCAAATTAACTTTCATGAGTGTGTTATATATTACTAAAAATAAGTATTAACACAGTGTGCTCGTACATATTGTTTTTATTTTTTTGGTTTATAAATGTTGGTTTACTAGGTTTTATGCACGTGCAATGGATTGCACGTGATTAAATACTATAATCAAGTATTTTTGATTTATTTCTCTACTAAAAGTTGTTACTCAATTTCACTTTGATTGTTTTTGCTCACTTATGTCTTTAAACTTTAGTATTATGATTATTTATTTTCTTTAATGTTTGTTTTAATGGGCTACACTAAATTAAAAATTTTTACGTTAATAATTGAATTGACAAAAAATATATATAATCTAAAGCTAATTTGAATTTGCACATTATTTGGATCGACATGAAACCAAGTTTGACTTGAGAATGTATAATGTTGTAAAAGTGAAAACCACTTGAAGAAATAGTGTTATAAAAAAAGGATGAATAATTAAAGCCAATAAACCAAGATGAAACTAAAAAGAATATAAATTTTGTTGCTAATCATTGATAGACTTCAGAAAAATCATAAAATAAAGATTAATACTAACTCTAGTACACTTCTATATGATAAAAGCATCCACATAACCATATTAAAATATTAAAATAGAAAATCTCTTCTAAAGATTTCTGATTTTCCTCAAAAAATTAAGTTATTCTATAACATATTCAATAATTTAAATTTGTTTTGTTTTTATAATGAGCCTTGATAGAGATGCTTTTGTTGTAGCAGCTTGTTCTGAATGAACCCTACATATTAGCTTTAAAGTGTAATATTTTTTCTTTATCGTGTTATATGGTTGTTTGCTTGGTTTACTTATCATTCTCTTTTTTCTTCAATAAGTTGTATCTTTGGATTGATATATATTATTAACACAATTTACGATGACATACATATCTTTCCTACAAATTTGAGACAGATATAATGTGAATTTTATGTTTAGTGGTCTTTAATAAGAATTTTAATTGTAAAATATTTTACCTTCATATTTAAAGATCTTGAAATCTGACAGTATTATTACAATCTTATCTTTGATCGTGTCCCTAAAAATTGATCATTCGTTGATAGTCATATCCCCAAATAAGGCTACTTGCAGGATCGTGCCACTATATAGAAAAAAGAAAAATATCAATTTTAATTTTTTTTACCTACGCTATGGTAACTAAGTATTATGTGCATACTTTTTGTCAATTATAGTGATTTTCCTCATCTTATCTAGCTTATTATATCTCGTAATATAGTTGATCAATGGCTTCACTTTAGTTTCTATTATAAAATTATTTATATATAATTTTATATTAAGTTTATGATTTCTTTAGTATTTCAAGAATAAAATATGAAAATTTATAAATACTTACTAATTTTTGTTCTATCTTTCATGAAGAATACTTTTTTTAATTAGGACAAAATTGTTCAATATCTTCTTCAAGGGGAACTCGGTCAGTGCTTCTTTGTTAGATATGCCTTTTATCGATATCAATTCAAGTGATTCATGAATGTTTCCGAATTTTAAGTTTATTTCCTTCACTTTTCCATCTGAAATGAAAACAACTTAGTTCTTTTAAATGATATCTCTAAACTTTTTGATAGTTTCTCCATATATAACTCCTTGTATTTTTTTACCCTATAAATCTTATCAACATTAGAGATAAATGTTTATACATTATAATCAATTAATGCTAACCTATTATATTGTAGTCTTTTATTAATTTGTCTTCTATCAATGAATGTTATTAGTAAAATTTTATGCAGTTCCTTGAATTTATACGGTAATGTTAACTTTTAATCTATCATATATTTTTAAATTCTCATTCCTTAACTGGATAATGTTAATCTATTGAAATTGTTATTTTTTACCGGCATCAACTTAGACTACTTTTAGATATTGAAAATATGATAAATTTTAAATTGAAAGTTAAATTTATATATCTTAATGTTATAATATCAACTATTTCCTATTTTCTTTGCCAAATTTTAGTTTTTTTGTGATTTTTAACTTTTGAGGGTGTGCTTTATAATTTTTAAACTTTGATAGTATTTTATAAAAAATTTAAGTTGTAAGTTGGGTGCTTATAATTCATGTTTCATGTGTTGGTAGTAAGTTTTTAAATGTTAGAAGGTTTCTTGTAACTATAAAAATTTAAAGATATTTTACAATTACTAAAATTTTGGGTTGTTTTTTAAAAAAAATCAAAATTTCAATGATCTACTGATAATTTCTAAATTTGATGTGTACCAGTTATAAGTTTTGAAATTTCAAGATTTTTTGTAATTTTTTATTTTTGAGGGAGTTTTTGTAATTTTTATAACTTTGAGGTTATTTTTTATAAATTTTAAATTTTTAAGTGCTTAATGGTAATCCTTAGAATCCATCTATATTGTTTCTAAGTTTTGAAATCTTTGAATTTTAGGATGTTTTTTTGTAATTTGATTTTTTGAGGTTATTTCTACAATTTTATAAATATTGAGGGTGTTAATTACAAATTTTAAATTTTTAGATTTCATGTTTGTTTTTAAGTTTTAAAAAGTAAATGTGTTTTGTGTAAATTTAAACTTTTAAGGCTATTATATGCAATTTTTGAAACGTTTGGTTTTTTTAATACTTCATGTATTATAATATGTTCTCCGCATATAATTTCTTAATCTTATTTTTTTTCTAAATTGTTGAGCTATATATAGTTAATATAGAGTTAATATAAGATATAATTAGCATTTGGATAGATTAAGATTTAAATAAAATATTTAAACTAACTTTTTTTAATTATTGAGCTGTAGATAGTTGACGGGAATTAGATAAGATATGATTAAAATTAGAATAGATTAAGATTTAAATGAATATTCAAAATAGTGAAGGGTAATATTGACCATGAAAGGTTTTTCCTGGCCTCGTGCTTTTAAAATGAGTATGATATGCCTTTCAAATATGTTAAGCTACCAAATTGTAATATGAGTGATGATTGATTATATTTCTTTGTAGACTATAACTTACAAATCATAAGTATCTCTTTTTGCTATATTATGAAATGAAGAGAACAGTATCCCCCCCCCCTATATCCCACCCCACCTATTAATTAAAATGGATGGTTTAAGCGGTAGGGGTTTTCTTAAAGATAAATGGAAAAATTGCTTCAAGGCCCCAAAAATGGAAATACAATGTGTCCCAGCCCCCTGTATTATTTTTCATGTGTATTAGACCCAAAAATGAGAACTCAGTATGATTCAGCCCCAATTACAATTCCCAAGGGAATATATCCCCAAATTACCCATCTCCTTCTCCAGATCTCTCCTTCTCTTCCAACAAACCCATCTCCTCCCTCATCACCTCCGCCATTATCGCTAGTCCTAATAAAACCCTAATCTTAAACCTCCCCCTCCTCCATCAATGGCGTCCTACCGTCTCCTACCCCGCCGCGACCTCCGCCGCCTCGCGCCACCTCCTCCTCCGCCGACCGCCGCCACCGCCATCGACCATCTCACCTCCCTCATCACCTCCGCCTTCGAATTCCCGCCCTCCGATCTCCCTTCCGCCGATGACGACCTCCTCAAAGCCCTGATCTCCTCCCAAAAACCTAACCGAGCCCTAGCCCTCTTCCGCCTCATGCTCAGATCCCAAATCCTCCCCCAAACCGACTCCTGCTACCGCCTGCTCTCCTCCTTCGTCAAGCTCAAGCAACTCGACAAGGCCTGGATCGTCTACGCCGAGATGTTCCGCGCCCGGATCCGATCCACCGTCCACACCTTCAACATCATGATCAACGTCCTCTGCAAGCAGGGTAAGCTCCGAAAAGGCCAAATCTTTCACCCGTTTCATGGAGGAATCCGGTGTCGAACCACAGATGATGAAATTTGTTACTATAATGTCATATTGGTACTAATTTTCATATCAGTTTTGATATTAATACTATAATGTCACAGATGATGAAATTTGTTGATGGAGAGGTCTTGTCACAGTTAAGTGCGAAGCATCACCAGTGGCCAGACTTGCAAGCCAAGAGTTATCTTCTAACATCACCCCTTGTCCTCCTCCACCCGTTGTTGTTGTTGGTGGTGGTGCTTGTGGTGGTCTAGGTGGAGGATAATTGCTTGTAGTTGCAGGGTCCGGACTTGATGATTTCTGGCTGTATTTTATCATAAAAGGAAGGGGAAAAAAGTTTATTACATTTTGAATTAATCTCATCGGTCAATTGTAGTAGGAGCCAAGACCAAAAAGAGTA